ATAAGGTGTCAATACAGTGCATATTCATTAGACCACGGGACCTCATTAGCAGAGCAGTGTGAATAATTGGCCTCCTGCTTCACTGGTCAAGCTGAAAAATCAAACCAAAAAATTCATGGTTCAGAGGTCAACAAGTTCATTTCAAGTTGAATGAAATGCTTCATTTTGCCCCAAATGCATATTCTTCATCAGTTTCTAGTTTCGTTCTTTTTTTTTAAACGGTGACTATTTTTTAACGGAAGGAATGAAAACGCTAGTGACTTTCTTCACCAGCATCTTATTTCCAAATTCAAATCCAAAGCCTTCTGAGAACAACTAAAGAAAATCTGTCAATGAGTTAAGTTATTTTCAAAGACAAAACTAATTCTCTCATTTGCCTCCAAAATGACTTCAAACGTCAGCAGCCTCACAACTGCATTTATTGGTCAAAAAACCTATTGTCTGGAGAAAAAAAACCCAATCTGCTCACTTAGCCACTGCAGTTTGCTAACTTGCTTGTTCAAGAACCGATTTATAGATGGCTCAGGTACCTATGCAGGACGAGGCAAGGTGGGGCCCCTCTCGTCTGTGCTAAGCTATTCCATGCCCCGCTACGAGTGACAGGCACCCACTGTCCTATACGTTTGGCTTCCTGGCCCCACCGAAGAGCAATACTCTGCCCGCCAAGTGTTGTTTTTTATGAACTACAACAGATGTTTCGCACCACACGTTATCTTGCTATACCGCCGCCAGAACAAAGTGAGGAACGTCATTATGGGTGGCTGAAGGCACGGTATAAATTTCATCTGGCCAATCCTCGCAGTCAAAACTGGAGCACAGCCAGGACAAGTGGCTAATGCCTTCTCTTCCCACTCCAGTGAAACAGCTCAGCAGATCATTAGAGACTGCACATGACTTGCAGCAATAATTAATCATGAGAACTTTTTATTTATCAAAGCCGATTCATGCGATGCCTGCGTCATGCGTTTGACAGCAGTCAGTAACAACACTCGCAATTAAAGTTAGATAAGGCTCTCCAATTAACCAGATAACAGTCATTGATGATCATGTATCTGTATCAACTCCTACCCGATTCTTTCCTTAGCCTATGTTTTTCACATACCAGGAGGAACAGTCAGATCACCAGCTCAAGACTGCTTCAAGTATCTGAACTGACTCCAGCTGCTCAGCTCCCGAGAGCCCTTCAGAGGTGACAGGGACACGGGTGAATGCAGGTGTCACCACTGCACGTCTCCTCTCCAGACAGCAACGCTTCTGGGGAACAGTCCCCAGAAGCGTCACTATGCCCCAGTTCAGTAACTGCTCGTGGATTTTTCATATGTAAATACAGTAAGAGGCTTGCAGAGGAGAGATTTGTCTCGACTAGGAGATTAGTTTAGATCAAACCTGGCTAACGTGTGAAACGTTGCTGGCTAGAATTTGACCACTTCAATTAGCTGAAGAGTGCTTTTCTACATCTCTGCTGCCAGCTCAGGCGTAGCTGGCTAAGAGAAGCTGGAGTTGTGCGGAGGCTCTGAAGGGCAACCCTTGCCTGCAGAAAGGTGTTTTACGCATGGAGCCAGCAGACCTCAAGTGACCGTTTCTGTCCAGGAGCTGCACATTTCCCAAACATCATGTTCTCACACCCCTACTCTGAACTCTGGTGCCCCGTTCATCTTCGCTGTGGAAAAACGTATCTTCGCTATCTGAGCTGTGAGTTTCTCCTGCACGCAGTGCTGCCAGCCACGGCACGAGGGCACCGGGACAGGAGAAAAAAGGCTGCACAAATCAGAGCAGAAATCCACTGCCAGTGCTGTCTGCAGACTTCTCAGCATCATCCATCAGCCTGGACCCGGATACCTAGTGGGCAACGTGGGGCTTGCCAACAAAGCTACCACGCTTTCTTTGGAAATTACAAATACATGTCAATAGCATGCCTGCTCCTACGAGAAGGAGAAAGGCAGAGGAATAAGCTATCCACATTTAGACTATTCCTGGAGAGAAGAAACTACAGTAACAATTATTTCATGTGTTAACTATTAGCGCAAGGTGGCTTCGATACCAGATGCCGCGTACGCTAAGAGATGCAAGAGTCTCGTTCAGGGTAGCTCTGCTATTCCATCTAGCCTTTCATCACCTGCCTGCATCTCCTTGCGGGGCAAGTAGCCACTTTCCTCCATTTCGAGGATGCAATGCAAGGGGCATCCCCAGGCATGACTCCCAGCTAGGAACTGTGGTCAGCATCACGTCTCTAAATAGTTTTGGGGGAGTTGCTGCAGCCCTCTTCCTTGAGCACCTTGCCACAGCGCCTTGAGACACAAGCCAAAGCGGTTTCCTTGCCTCTTCATAGCCTAACTCTTGACAGCACCTGCTCGCCCAAGCTTTACCTCCATCTGCCTTCTCTAGACACCAAACACCTCGGCATCAAAAGTCTCTTTTTCCCTTGGAGGGGGACCCCAGCAGGGGTTCCAGCTGGAGCGGACGGGCTGGTTTTGTGCTGCCACATAGAGGGCTTTCCCGTGAGGATGGCCCTAGCTTGTGCCCAGGCTGGTCCTGCAGTAGCTCAAGAAGCTCTCGGGACACCAGTGGAAGCACAAACTACTTATTTTCAAAAGCTGAGGAACCGAAGGAGGACGAAGCTGGCTCCCTAAGGCAGGGACTGGCTTTTTGTTCAACATGTGCTGATTGCGCCCAGAAATACAGCACTCTCAGTCTTGATTAGGAAATTATAATAGTGCCTTTGTGCCATCGGAAACTGGATCAAGGAAAAAATTCCTAAGCAGCACATGTAAAAGATTAATCCATTTATTTTTCCCATCAACTTTCCATCCCTTCCCCTTGCCGCATTCACTAATTATCCAGTACGCATTTGCTTAAAGAAAGTATTTTTCTGGCCTTCACAATCCATCTTCCCATCCTAATGGATCCTGTGGTAAAGTCGTTATGGAGACTTTATGAAATCACAGTTATTTCCATGACAACAGTGATGTAATAAAGGTGGGATTATGACATTACTGCAAGATCAAGCTGAAGGACAGGATGGATTTGTTTACCCCAGATAGGGCAAGCAAGGGACTTCATTCATTCACTGTTTCTAAAGTGCCTTAAGGTCTGCTAATGGAAGGTGCATTTTATTACTTTTTTTTTTTTTTAAACTTCTTCTTATTCAATTTTTCTAGTTATTTATTAGGGAGAAGGCTCTTACTCAAGCGCACATAGTTTACGAAATTTCACAGGAACCAACATCCTGAGGACAGACTTGCCCATTTCTGTGAAAGGAAAGACCATCCCCGCAAGTCATGTTGTTTCCTGAAAGGCAGCAGTGCCCACTGGGGAAGATTTTCCCACATGTTTAAAGGACTGGAAGGATTGCAAGGATTGCTGATCTAAGCGGCTTTCTCTTCAAATGTCTTAATAAAGCAATCACCTGCCATTGGGTCACAGCACGAGTTGCCTACCCATGAAATTAGGTTTGAAAACGGCATTAAACCCTTTTTCTCTCCTTAACGCAAGTGCAACCAGCCTGGGTCTGGCCAACAAATTCTAAGCCAAAAAAACGTTTATCTGCCAAACCTAGACACACTAGTAAAGTCACTCCAGAACTGATTTTTAGCTCTCTCTCCAGCAATCATAGAATAAACTTAGGTGGAAATGACACAGCAATTCCTAAAGGATCAGAGCTTGGAGTGCCACGAGACAGCTTTGAAGATAGCTGGGGTTTCTAGTTTGTTTTTCACAAGAAGGAAGGATGAATATTTCATACGGTACATGGTTCAAAAGTTGATTAATGTTTCAGTGCGTGGAAAACCAAACACAAGAGACAAGTTTCCTGCTGTAAAATTCTTTCAGCCAGCGCTTGGTCTTGTACGGCCAACGTCTCCGAGCACGCATTTCGTTTAACCCCCTTCTTCAAACGTGCTCCTGCAGGTGCAGCTCCCATCCACTGCAGCGGGTCTTGCCAGCCAGGCCGACAACTCCCCTCGCTCTCAGGAGATGTTAAAATCAGGCTTTTCTCTGACATGGGTCGATTTGGGGGTTTCCCTACCAGGTGTTGAGAAGCTACAGCTCCTGGCACCTTTGCTCTGTGCTGGCTGCCGCAGTAAATATGCACAGGAGTGCAGGGAAGTCCCCTACTCGGAAAGCCTGTTAGCTTCGAGTCCAGCCTGACTGCTTTCAGCAGCTCTTCTGGCCTGGCCTGCCCTAATTCCCACCCCTCTAAGCCTTCCCGATATCTCTTCATCGACAGAAGGGAAACACCAAAAGGCCACGCAGGCGTGCTAATGAAATGTGAATTATTAACTGCAGCGTGCGGAGGGAGATATGCAGAAAGGGAGGGAGGGCGGCTGTCATTTTACCATTAATATGTAAAACGGGCAACGCTCCCTCCTCTCCCCTGCAGCGGAAGAGCAGATCCAAGCGTGCGTCCCAGCCCGTTCCAGAGCCAGGATCTGTAACGAGATAACCCGCTTGCCGCGCGTCTCTCGCCCTCTTTCTTTCTTTCTTCCGTGATAAAAGGACAGAGGGGAACGCAGACAATTAAAAGGAGGATTCCAATCGGCCCCGGAGAGATTCAATGAATAGTAATGGACCTCCAGCTGCTAATGTGCTTAAGGACTTCCAAGTCTCAAGTGCCTAACCAGCTTAAGGGTCTATGCCACAGACTTCCTCCTGCCTTTCCCATTTATGGGTAGAAACGAAGGGGGGGATTCCTGCTTCTGACTACAGACGGGATTGTCTCTCGGCTGCTTGCCGGGTTCCTCGTGAGGACGTTGCTACACCTGCAAAGCAGCGAAGTCAACTTAGGACTCTCAAAGCCAATTCTAGGTACGGGGCGAAGCAGTTCTCCACCAATTTCTATGTGTTACTAACAGCTGGTAACATTCAAAGTCACCCTGAAATACCTCAGAAGAAGGTCAGATACACTATTAGCGTAAAAACAACACCTTGCCTCTGAAATGTTGGTCTCTCACACACACAAGCTTTTGCATAGCAAGACAGTAAATATGTGACTAATTCTTTACCTGTGCAGTTCTAGGTGAAGGGAAAGTCTCTGCCGCACAGTGACCTACACAGAGCACTCATCTTCTCCACCCTCCTTGCAGAGGTGTCAGTAGCCTTCGAAAGCAATGCGGAAGACATCTAAAAATCACAAGAGAAGTTGTTTTCACTTCTGCCAGAGTAAGGACTAGGGGCATCAGAAGAAGCTACCAGGTTCAAAACAAACAAAATGAGCTATTTCTTTACCCAGGGTGTCTCTGAGCTGCGGAACTCTTTGCCACAGGATCTGTGACTGCTACATGCTCATAACAGTTCAGAATAAAACAAAAAACCTTCTAAAAGTTTGTCTGCTGAGGCTATTTTATACAAAGTCACCAATTACGGGTGAAGAGGTCCCTGATCTGCAGACCATGGGAGGCCAGAAGAGTAGTCTGCAGAAAGACCACTACTGCTTGCCCCGTACTTACGTGGTTTTCCAGGCCCCCGCTATTGCCTGTATCAGAGACAGGATCTTGGATCGGGGGACCTTCGGTTGGACTTGGCACGACTATTATTATCGCGTCCTATGTTCGTAGCTGGCTGCCTTCACACTTCAGTAGTTCCAAGATACAGCCTCAGAGACAACACAACCCCTCTTCTCCAGCTTTGGGAAAAACCCACAGGACTTGTAGGCAACTGTGAGATGTCATACGAAGCACTAAGCTAGATTTGAGTTTAATGGGAAGAGATGTTGGCAGAAGGGACAGAAGAGGGTACAGTTACATAAGCCTGCACTAGAGACTCACTTGTCCCTAGCATCGTTCAACACTAAAGAGTTTAAAGAGAGAAGTTGTGTAAGGTCGGCTGTGTGTCAGCCTTACGTGGCTGAATCATGCAAGTTTAAAGCAATCAAAGCAGGATAAGGTCTCAGCTCAGCCACGTGTGTACTCGTTCCTTCAACCTAAGGTTCAGAAAACTACAGAAAAGCACAAGTGAAAGCAGAGCGGAGTAATTAGCTAATTAAGGGAGCTGACTAATCAGCTAATTTACAGAGGGTTTTTTAACATTATTCACGGAGAAAGAATTCTAGAGAGCTTTGGCATGGAGCAAAGTGTAATCCACGGGGCCAAGGTAGTGGGAACTTTGCCTAAGACCCAGCATGTTCAAAGCTCACTGGAGCGGGCTCGTATCTCTGGGCCTTTTCAGGCTGTCCAGTTTCGTGCTCCTGAAGGATCGGGCCAGCCCCACTCATGCTCCTTGAGCAAAGGCGCTACCCGGCAGCCTGCCAATTCCTCTTCAGGGGAAGGAGGAGGAGAACTGAGGGGGCTTGTCTGTTTTGGCTTGAATTGGCAAACGGAGATTTATTTGCCTAGGACTCAACAGCTATATTTAACCTTCTCCTAAACACCACCTAGGCAGCTCAGACAACTCAAGTGATGAAATGATATCTTATAATGAATGCCCAAGGTGGAACAAAGCTGCTGCTTCCCTCTTCTTTGAAAGATCACTCAGCCCAGTGAGGGAAACGTCAATAAAGAGATATTTACGTTGGGAAGGGAAGGGAGACGCACAGAACATGGATTCCCAACGTGCAGCTCCTACCAGTCTCTCCTTTCTTTCCCTGTTCCCTTCCCCTCCAATGTCCTTGCATATCTCCAGCAGCAATATCACGCTGCTGCTATTATGGGCAGGATGGATATGCGAACGGCCTTCGATCAATATTTGTGCAAAGGGAAAGCTCGTGCATCACAGGGCTACAAATTAACCTCTTGTCCCATATTCACACTGGCACACAGGACCAGCAGGAGCTGCGCGCTCCCCCGGGGAAAAGTGGGACATACGTTTCATAACAGGAAGAAAAGAGTAATAATAAATCCAACCCCAGCTCATGCACATTTTTACATTTCTCCCTCAGGTTAGGGGTGGGGGGGGAGGGGAAAATAGCTTTTCTTAATTAGCATCCTAACCTTTTCTAAACAGGTTCAAGGATGTCTTGGCAGGCTCAGGAAGTGGTGTGAAAGCAGCACTGAATAACAGCAGCAGAATTAGTCAGGTGTAAAAGGATCTTGCTTTCTTCTGGGGAGACGATTGGGGTACTAGTAATGAGAAACATGAAGAACTTCCAAGGTTACAGATGCCTGCTTATTAAATGGAAACGTTACCTAAAAGTTACGTGCTTGCAGATGGAAACTATTCCTTCCGGCAGATCCCTTGGTGGGGGGGACTGCAGCTCCTGCTGGGCTGGTGCTGCTTTCCGACCCTTCCAAAGTCTCCCACCTTTTGTCCTGGCCAGATCCAGCCAACGTCCGGGGGTCTGTGCAGTTACCCTTACTTCTCCGGCCTTACAGGGCAACAGTGGGACAGCGGGACAGCATGGAGGGGTTTGTAGTATGGGTGCTCATGATGCGGAAACAGAGGAACTGTCAAATTCACCCCAGGATGAAAACAAGCAAAGACAAATAGCAAGTTTTTGCCTCATTCACTCTGCGAGGCTAGTCATCAGCAATGCTTGCTCCTGCTTCTTCCTGCTATTATTTGCCATGTTTAGCTTTCTTCCTTTCTACCTTGCAGTTGCACCAAGCAAAGAGGGAATGGTGCATTTTTTAACTCCCGCTCAGCCTCCCTCTGGGTCTTTTTTCTGGTTCTCCTCCAAATCCAAGGGAACTATTTTGTTTGGGTCGGAAACTAAATTTAAAAAAACATTTTTGACTATCCAAGGAATTCGTAGGCAGAAAGGTGCCAATTAATCTGCATTACAGTGAAATTAGCCTAATATTAAAACAATAGGAGGACAACAAGGGAGAGATCAGCCTATAATGTCCTCATTAGCCAGCGTGGCTCCATATGAGCTTTCCATCATGGGATGGTAGCAGTCTGGTTTCACATCATTAGCACAGGGGTTAATTACGCCTAAGGAGGCAGGTAGACGGGCTGTTCCCCCATCCTTGCTGCTGTTCTCTTCCCAGCTCCTCCCATCACTCCTGGATGGAAGTCAAAGCTCCCCCTGACAACTAACGGCTCCTACTGCTCCTCTATTTGTAAAGGCAAGACAGGGAGAACGAGACCCATTTTTCAAACTGAATAGGTGCAAGTGGTGTCTCACTCGGGCGCTGGGGGTGGTTTGGGTGGTGCTCAGCAACAGCGGAACAGCGGCACTGCTAGCCTATGCTGGCCACTGTCGTAGAGGGAGCTAAGCAGATGAAGCTTTCCCTGAGTCCCTCACAAACTCTTACTTCCCCACAACTCCCACCTTATGCGTGTCCTTCTTTCTCCCTCAGCTTCCCCACGGCTTCAGTCAGGCTTTTGCCCCATCTCCGTCCTGTGCTGCCTCTTTCCTCCGGCTGCTCTAACTCAGCCAGGCTCCCCTCAGCTTCCTCTGCCGCTTGTTGGCAGCCGCTCAGCTCCCCAGGTTGCCCCCCCACCGACATTCTCCTTTTGCTTTTGCCAGCCCTTGCCAGGTGTTTTTATTGTTAAGCTTTGGGTTTTTTAAATTTTTTTGACCCCATGGGTGTCAGGTCAGATCGTCTGTCAGATGATTACAGCACAACATGAGGTTGCCAGCAGATGAAGGACAGCTCACAGTGAAGACAGCAAGGAGAAAGTCAAAAAAAAAAAAAAAAAAAAAAAAGTCGAGCTTGTTTCCCAGAGAGCTTGCAGAATTGCTCAAGGGTCTTCCCTCCAAAAATCCCAGTGGCCTGGAAGGGGGTAGGATTCAGGCCTACCACGACAGAGCTAGAACAGCCTCAGTGGGAGGAAAGCATACTATCCAACAAAGCGTATCCGGGGTACGTGCACCTGAACACATGAACTACACGCAAAGCTAGGCACATGGACAGCTTGGCGGTTAAGAGGGAAACAGCTTTGGTGTGTGCTTTTGAAAGGGTCTTCCAGTGCAGGTTGGCAGCTCCTCATCCTTACAGGGTGAGGGAAAGTGAACCCGCTCTTCACCGTGACCACACGGAGCAAGTGTGGGATAACAACACGCACACAAACCTCTGCTGTTGATCGCAAGACGCTAGAAGGCTGTGCACGGGTGACTAAACCCATCCATTTCTTCAGCCCTGCCCCACGCATCCCCACTTGCCCCTGGCTGCAGATGTATTCCTGGATGAGGGGCACCTCTGCGTTCTCTCAGTCCTGAAATCAGAGCACCCCCTAGAAAGGGGGCACAAGCTTCCCTCGGCATCAGGGAGAGACACCCGCTCCGAAAACAAAGCTGCCAGCAGTCATCCTTCCCCTGCCTGTCCTGCCTGGAAATCAGAAGTGCCCTCGTTAGGGGCTACCTTAGGAGATAGGCTCCAAAAGCGCTGGGGAAGAAGATCTGCCCAGAGGCAGCTGGCCTGAAGGGCTCAGTGGGAACTTGCCAAACGGCGTGAGGCCGGAGGCTGCTACAGCCCAGCGATTTGTTACCGGATCGGAAGGCACTGTACTGTGAAGCTGCAGGATAGCTATTAAATGAAAGCTGCGGTTAAGTTGAGAATAACATCCATTGCTACTGAACCTTTAAAAGTCCTCATGGATCATTCAGGACGGAGGACGAGTTCCCGTGTGAGTCATCGGCAGAGGCAGAGACTGTGCTGCACCGGCGGGTGGCCAGACGCTGTCAGGCCCACGTGTGCGCGTGCACACGCATGGGCACGGTCCTGTGACAAATGCCTCCTAAGAGCAACTCCTCTCTGGGCACGGGGACCATAACCCAAGGGTTTACAGGAACTCAGTGCCATAGGGCTGCATCGCACTGTGTTAGCTGCCCTGCACTTGACATAGCTGGAACTCCTTGCTAACTCACGTCACTCTTCCTTTAGATAGAGCAGGCTCTGCAAATTCCTAAGGAACTACCAGATACGTGGCTTAGGTCCCACACCACCTGCCGCACCACAGAGAGACAGAAGCTGTCTGGGAGTACCAGGTAACAGTTAAGATCTCAGGCAGCAGAAGCCTGTGGCTTTATAGCCCAAAGGCTACATTTTTCACTCTCCAACTGTCCAGTCACCAGGAGATAGTGAGATTGTTTCCAGATCCAAGTGTTTTGCGCATCGACACCACCGGTCATTCGCCTGAAAACGTACTCAGTAACTGCAGTTCTGCCTCTCTTTCATCATCAGCTCTCTTTTATGGCACACTGCGACTGCCATAATCCACAAAGAGCAGAGGCATGTGCA